CCCCAAAACCCCAAAACCCCAAAACCCCAGCTTTGTAAATTCTATGAAAAAAGATAAGATAATTAAGAAATAAGTTCAATCTAATTTTATGTTATAGCTCAATTCTAAATTCAATAATCATCATCTTCATCAGAATCAAATTCTCCAAGAGGATCATCACATTTTTTCCTCATAACTCTATAAAAGTCTTCAAATGTTATTAAACCATCTCCAGTTCTGTCAGCTTCCTAAATCATCTCATGAAGTTCATCATCATTTAGGGATTCTCCAATTTCGTTAGAGATTTTTTTCAAATTTTTGAAGGAAATTCTACCAGTACTATCTTCATCGAAAAGTTTGAATATTTTATGAATCTCTTCTCTGGAATTTCTGTCTCTTAATCTTGGTTGAACTATTCTAATAAATTCGTCAAAGTTAAGACTACCAGAAACATCCTTATCCACCTCTTAAAAACATTAAACAACATCAGACTTTTTAAAGTCATGTCCAAGTGCTCTCATTGCTGCTTTGAATTCTCTTGCATCAATAGAACCAGAATGATTAGTGTCAAAGAGATGGAAAGCCTCCTTAAGTTCTTCAAGTTGCTCCTCATCTATCTAAGGTCTGTTTTTATTTATGATCGATCTAATGTGGCCAGTATAAGCTTTGCTTTGAATAGGTTTAGCCCCACCACGATTGTTAGCGTAAGAAGACATTATTTAAATTCTTATTGTTAAAATTCAAAATCAATTATTATTTAATAAATTAATATGCAATTATAAAGTTAGATCTAAATCAATAAATCTTAAATACATTTAATTTCTAAGAGATCAATAATCACTTTTGAGGTGGATTAGGCTATGATATTTACTGAACAGGACTGAACAGCTAATTACTGATAGTATTTATGTTCTCAAAAAGTTGCGCTGAAGTCCTAATATTCAGGCTTGAATTTTCTTAAAGCTGCTTCATAGCAATTCTATAAGCAATTGCTCCACTCTTGTAGTCCATTCGCTACATCGACTTAGCTCCTAATGAAATATGACTGCTTTAAGAAGGAGTTCTCATAAAGCTAATATCTTAAGAACTTGGTAAAGCATTAGGTCTAGTTTTAGCGCTGAAAATTCTATTGCGTTTGATAATCATCTCCTTAGAGTGAAGATGTTATTTACTATTGTCCACGTGAATACCAAGATTCTCAACGTAATTTAAGAAGTTTTAGGAAACATTAGTGCTGTTTGTTTTGTTGTTAGTAGAGTTTCTGAATCTATTCTAAGATTATTCCTAAGTTTTTAAAGATTTTTGTGTGAAAACTGCAGATTAGACATTTTAGATAGGCAATTTTGACGAAAGTGATTATCGTCTTGAAATTTACTGCGAATAAACATTTCGTATAGGCTCTTTTTCATAATTCAGCGAAGGCTAGATTGGATTCGTTTATTTTAGGCCTTAATTTTAGTAATGAAATGATTGATTTTAGTAGAGGCTAGTAGGAGACGATAATTTATTAGGTGAATTCTAATTATGTGTTCCATATACATTAGTTCGCTTTCTATTTTGAAGTACTCCAGATAGAACTTGATAAGATTGTTGGATTACGCTAGGAACTTAAATTTACTATTATTCAAATGGCTATGGCTTTTCTAAATCAATTTACTCAGATTTCTAAACTTAAAATGTATCTCTATATTCTTAGTTAGCCAATGGTGTTGTTATCTCTATCCTGACTATTTCATTTGCAGGTCTGGTTGACATAATCATTTCCTCTTATGATGCTAATTCATTATTATCAAATTTCGATTCAGATAAAACCTCATTAATCACATATTAATAATCAGCTTGCATCTCGGGTTTTTTAGCTATTTCTTTCTCAGCTGTTTAAATGTTTGTAAATTGCATATGAATCTTTTAAGATGGAAATCCATTTTTAAGGATATCTCTTGGTCTTGGCTTTCTTATTTCTATTCTTTTGACACTTGAATCAAATATATCTTCATCATCAACATATTCCTATAAAATGTGCTAATCTCTTTTATTCACATAAACTTTGCCACCCTCTTGATTAATTTACCTTAAAAATAGCATTTCCTTGTTGATTGGTTTCTTTTTGTCTTTCTTAGAAAGCCCATATGAAGACCCTTTAGCACTAACACTTCTTTAATCAATACTTTAAGCTTATATGCTTAATCGATTGTTATTTGCTAAAGACTGATTTATTATTGACTCTTAAAGAGGAATGATCACACTTTGATTTGCTCGATGAACAGATCCCTTTTTATTGTACCTTTGCTCATTTGTTTTAAGGTTATACTAATGACTCTCTTCAATTTGTTGATCCTGCATTGCCACGTCAATTTTTTTAAGATCAAATGGAATACAGAGCACATTGATATCAGCACCTAAACTTGCATACTTAGTAGATTCCTTTTGATTATTCCTATCACCAGCATTTTCTTATTATTCTTTCTAATGCTTAATTGAGTAGTCATTTAGAGTTTTCTTGAGTTTCTTGATATACAACTCTTTCTTTTATATTTATCTTAATTTTTAATCGAAAATCTAACCCTTTTTATTTTTTTTACTACGGTTAAGATTCTCTTCACTTCTATTTCTTATTATAACTTAGGGCTCTTTAAGTTTTCCCCTAAAAGATTCATCAATCTGGCTAATTACACTCTGTTCTAATAGTTATGGATGAAATTCAGAGTGATTGACTGCATTAGCTAAAGCTCTTCTTTATTCTTTTTGTAAGGCTTGTCTTTCATCTGCTTACTCTGATTAAAACAAACTTCGGAGACAATGAGGATTACTTTGCCAGGGTTTATCTAATGATGTCAATTCTTTGATAGAGATATCATTAATTGAATCTTTCCCATGGATCATTTAAATAAGTTTTCCAGCTTAATCCAAATTTTAAAGGATTGATGGATGCAATCCATCTTAAATCAAGTCATCTAAGCACTTATAAGTTGCTCTCTACATCTTTTGATTCACTCTTGTCTTTAACTAATCCATAGTGATTTATCTATCTCGATATGCCATAAACAACTTTTTATCAGCTTCAGGTAAAAGTTATCTCAAATCTTTAACTCCATCTTAATTGAGTTCAGGGATAGTTTCTTGTAATCTAATAAGAACTTATTCCAAAACATCCTTATCTTTCATGTATTTTACGAATTAAATAAATGATATGTTGTCTAAGGCATTACTGTCAAAAAGTATTTTAATCTCCTTCCTATCAGTATTGATCTCAGTAATTCTTCTCTTTCTTTAATTACTGACCTCGTTTTGCTAAGCAAATAAGGCTTCTAGTTCTCTATTTACCAATTCATTATTAAATGATTAATCCTATTCTTGATTCCTTTGAAGAATGCTTCTTTGAGGTGAAATATTATTATTAAGAAAATCATCATTGTTATTTATGGAGAGTGCTTTTTCATAAACCTCACTTTGATTTCTCTATTTTTTGTTATTTTAATCCTTGAATTGCTGACTCATTCCATTTTCAATATCTTCTTCAATGTAGTTTGAGAATTTTTTGAATTTCTAAATCTAGTCTTAATGATGATGCCTATTTCTTGGCTTAGCGAGATCAACCATTCCATCAAAACTATTACCAAATTCTTCTTGTAACTATAATCTTCTGTGATGCATGATTTTCTGGTAGAACTTATTGTGAGATTATGATAATGTTTTTTTAAAACTGTCTTCTGATCTCTTTACTCTTCGGAATATTGTTTTAATGTCTTGCTAGTTACTGAAAATAGAAACATAATCTATTGAGCTCTTAACCAATGGTATTTTAGGTACTTTAGACATTTTAAGAATTGATGGGTTTTATAATAGTACAATATAAATATTTTGAAAATAAGTTTTATTTGGAAGTTTATTAAATTCAGTATTTTCGTTAAAGGGGTTTTGGGGTTTTGGGGTTTTGGG